ATGGTAAGCCTCCTTGTTTCCAGAGGATTTCATTTACTTTTCAGTTTAGTTAGAATGTCATGGGTCTTGTCTCGACTTTCATCTTTATCAGTTAGAGGCTTCATAGATAGTCAGTATAGTTGAGAAGTCTTATTATTCATTTATTTTATCAAATGTTTTAATGACTTAAGTTGCCTATTTTATGGCGAGTTAAATATATTATTTTTATTATAAGTTTTTCATTTGAGTTAAAGTTTTGAAAAGTTGAGTTTATTGAATTTTATTTAGTTTTAAGCTTTTGCATGCTTAAGTTAGTCTTCCGCTTGTAGTCAGCCATGATGAGGGTTCGCTTGGGGACCATCAATGGTTCTTGAGTGCCGGCCACCTCTTGGGTGTAGACTCAGGTCGTGACATTAAAATACAAATAAAATGTACATGTAATCAATGACATTATTTAAATGCAGTTTTTTTTCTTTCCAACAATCAAATAAAATATAAAAAAATATTATTTAACTAAGCCAAAATCAAATCCAAATTCAATTCAATAATGAATTATAAAACTAATTAATGCTAACTAATAAAAAAAATAAAAACTCGTGTAAACCACTATCTTTATATATTTGATTTAATAACTACTAAAAAACCAAAGTGTTCACTCGTCCATGGCCACAGAACCATCACCAATCAAGTGATCTATCTTTCCTTGAGGATGTGCGAAGAAATCTGCTACATCCGAGTGTGTGATGTCAACTTGATTTTCAGAGACAAAATTTGCTTTAGGATTTTTCTCTCTTCTTTAGCGATTCTTGATAAAGCTCAACCAAGTGTTTAGGAGTACAACAATCACATGCATAATGACCTGTTCCACCACATAGAAAATAACCTGCCTAGTTGCTTAACAGTTCTCATCCTTTCTGTTTTCCTTTTGATGGTGATTTGTATTTGATGAATGATTAAAACCAGGAAAAGAATTTCGTTCTTGACCATACTCATGACAACGTCCATGTCCATGTCCACGTCCACGTCCATGATTAGGGCCACCACCTCTTCCATGCCTAGCATGGTGCCTCATTCACTTCAGAAAGTGGTTTAGATCTAGTAGGTCGATTCTCCTGATTTTTCATTAATAAATCATTATTTTGCTTAGCCACTAGAAGATGAGAAATATTTCAGAATACTTTTGAAACCTTTCTCTCGATATTGTTGCTACAGGAGCACATTCGTGGCATAAAAAGTCGAGAATGTCTTTTCCATCATATCAATTTCACTAATCGTTTCTCCACATAGTTTCAACTGAGAAGTGATACTTTTTGAAATCCTAAGATTTTTTTTATCTTATACCTTAAGGCTAGAAAGTCAGTCACCAAGGGATGTATCTATCACATAGTCAAAATTGAAGACTCTAGTGTTGAGACACAACCCCTCCAATCAATTCCAATGGTAAATGAGTTTCAAGAAGTCTTTCTTGATGATTTTCTTCGAGTCCCTCCCGACAGTAAAATAGACTTTGGAATCGACGTCCTCCCACATACCCAACCCGTCTCTATTCCGCCACATAAAATGGCTCCAACTTAGTTAAGGGAGTTAAAAGACTAGTTGAAAGATCTTCTTCATAAGGATTTCATTTGATTGAGTGTCTCACCTAGGGGCTCTCCTATGCTATTTGTGTGAAAGAAAGATGGTTCCCTTAGGATGTGTTTTGACTACCATTAGTTGAACAAAGTCATCATAAATAATAAGTCCCCTCTCCCAAAATCAATGACATGTTTGACCAAATATAGAGTGCTACATGTTTCTCCAAGATAGACCTTACATCTGGCTATCATTAGTTTAAAATGAGAAAAAGTGACATCCCAAAGATGTTGTTCAGACTCTTATGGTCATTATTAGTTACTTATCATTTCCTCTGGATTAAAACTATGGAATTTTGTATCATTAATAATTTCTAAGGTGGACCCACTGTCTAGGTAATTTAAGACACTCCTACAAGGGCATGTAGTTTCGAACAAGAAGATTGTTTAAACCTCTATTAACAGGAAATCCTTCATCTAAACGTCCTTTTGATGCTGAGTAAATCCCAATGGGAAGTCATAATCATATTCATGATCAAAATACGTAGAAAGACACAATTAAGACTGCCAATCCAATAGCCTAAACATCTTATTAATAGTTTTGCTCTGCATTTCATGTTCAATTGTGCTTTTTCTACCTCTCTCCCTCTTAACTTTGTTTAGGAGGTTTAATGGTTCACTAGAAAATAAATCTACAAAAATAACCAAATCCGTCTCAATTCATTCTCATATAGAACCAATATCACAGTACCTATCCTAAAAAACCGACTGGAATACCAATCATATACCATAAGTAGTAATTCAGATCTTCAATATCAATTCCAAAATATCGTTATGGCTGCACAAAAGATTGGGACAATATTTTCTCACAATAAAATGTTAGCACAGATGTAGAGTATGGGATTATCAGACAACGCTAATAATCCCATGTTCTGCATTTGCGCTAGCATCTTATTGTGAGAAAATCTTGTCCCAATCTTTTTGCAACCATAGCGAGAGTTCAAGATTGATATTGAAGATCCCACTTACTACTTGTGGCATGTGCTACGTACTTCAGTCATTTTTTGGAATATATGTTGTGATAGTGGTTGTGTATAAGAGTGGAGTTGAGATGGATTTTGTCTTTTTTGTAAATTTATTTTCTGGTGAATCATTGAATCTCCTAAACAAATTGAGGAGGAAGTGAGGCAGAAAAAACACAAATGAAAACAAAATCTAGAGAAAAGCTATTAATAGAACTGCTTGGAAAATGGAATTCTCAAAATTGATGGTGGATCTTCTTGGAAAATTCGTGGTAGTCATGCAAAGACTTGGTGAAGGAGGTAAGTGTACCTCACAAATGTACTGCAATATCCTTAGATGTTGTCAATCCCTGAGATTTATGGCCATATAGATCTCATCTACCTAATAATTCTAGGTTGAAATACTGAATTGGGGCATTGATCTCTCATGAATTCTCTTTAGTAGTTGTGTCCACAAGTTATGTCTTTCAAAAATAAAGGTATCCTTTCTAGTGCCAACTTTATTATTTTGTCTCTTTTGGGTATAGTATTAAAGACAACCTGGTCTATTCTTGCTTCATCAACTCACACTTGATTATACCCAAGCCTAATATTGTTTTTATACTGATTAACATTTTGCATAATTTGTGATGAAATCGATATGTTGTTGAGATGATAAAGAAGGTGTTATCATATGAGAAGTCCAATAAAACAAACGTAGTTGTAGAGATTCAAAGTCGAGTAAAGTAAGGGAGGCTAATTTCGTTTCTTTTAAATTGAGCGGCTGAGATTGAAATCAATTTAATGAATAGGAAGGGCGAGGATTCAACCATGACACTAGGAAAGTTAACACTCTTATAACCACCCTGACATGGGAGAGTGGGGTTCTTACGTGAAAAGTGGTATTTTTCTCATCTCTTCTAAATTCTCTCTTGCCAGATTATCTTCTCATCTCCTTCTGTTTCTTCTTCTTCCTCCTCTTATTCTCTTCGCCTTCTTCTTCTATTAGGTTATTGGTACGTCAATGGAATACTGATTAGTTTATGTTCATGCTCTATTTTCTTATTAGACTGTAATAACTTTCGATTCAATTTTAATTCAGATCAATGAAATTCTAGAAAATTATCCCAGAAAATTATATTGTGTTCATTATTTTCTATTATTTGTGATTAAACAAGTCTGATCTTGACAATTGGCTGAGGGTACTCGTATGAAGCAGTTAGATGAGAAACTTGCTCGTCATGATGAGCATTTAACTGAAATATTGAATAATCATCAGGATGTTCGCAACACCCAAACTGGGATCCAAGGTACACTTGAACTTATCTTAAATCATCTTACTGTATTGGAAAGGGCTCCTAACAAGGCTCCTGTTGAACAACATCCTGTTGGTGGATTGTTACCCATCCCTAAAGACTACAGGCACAATAGACTTCAAGTTGTGCATGTTCATCCACCTAAGTGGGAGTTACGATATGTCGAGGATCATGACCCTAAGGTGTGGATTTGTAAGAGTGAGAGGTATTTCAACCTCTACAGAACCCCTGATAATCAGAAAGTAGAAGTTGTTGTTATGTATTTGAATGGGATTCTTGAGAATTGGTATTGAGTGTTGGGGTAATTGGCTTGGGGTGAGTTTAAAAAGGAACTTTATAACCAATTTGAGGAAGAATTACTAGAAGATCCAGTGTAGGAGTTAAATAAATTGAGCCGAACTGGTACGATGGAAAATTTCTAGGGAGGTTTGAAGATTTGAAAGAACAAATGATCATCAGGAATCTAGCTTTAACTCAAGCGCACTTTCTATCCAGCTTTATGTGGGCTTTAAAGGAAGAAATCAAGTTCGCAGTGAAGATGTTTGAACCTACTACCCTTAAAGGTGTGATTGAAAAGGCTCGGATGCAGGAGAATGCAATTGAGGTTGTACGGAGGATACACAAGCCCATCACAAAACCCCACTCTATGGTGAATCAAGCTACTAATTCTATGTCTAATGTTAATGCTATTTCTAGGACCACTTCTTTCAGGATTAGTCCAGAGGTGTATGAGTATAGGAAAAACAGCTAAACTGTTTGAAGGGTGAGAGCGAGCCTAGTCCTCTTGCATTGGGCAAGACTGAGCACATCCCTATCACGCTAGAGGCTAGTATAGAAATCAGTGAATTACCAGCAGATGTGGTAATTGAAGATGATATTGAACAAGCAGTAGTGGAAGCTGTGTGTTTAAGTGCATTGTCTAGACACAATAGCAATTCAATTTTGGTGAAGGGTACCATTAAGAACAATGACCTTACTGTGCTGATAGACTCTAGGAGTACCTATAGTTTCATGGATGCTAACAATGTCAAAGAGACCGGTTACCACATTAATTACTACCCCCGGTGCGAGTAACATTAGCAGATGGTAACTATGTGATGTGCAACTCTTCTTGTTCCAAATTCTAATGGAAAATGCATGCTAAGACATTTCAAGAAGATCTGTTGATAATTCCACTAGGTGGTCGTGATCATGTTCTAGGGAATGATTGGATGAAAAAGCACAGCCCTACTAAGTTTGACCATGAGAGGAATTGTGTAACTATTGGGAAGAAGAATAATAAGCTGGTGTTGAAGGGGATTTCTGAAGAGGGCAAGCTCAGCGTGATCAATAGTGGTGCTATGGGTAAGTTACTTAAGAAGTGAAATGCTTTATTTTCCCATCTATTCATGATGAACAGTACAATATATCATCATCAAGAAATGGAGGTTATACTACAGGTATTAGATCAGTTTGTTGATGTATTCTCTGAGCCGAAATCCTTATCTCCAATCAATTTTTTAGATCATAGTATTAATTTGAAGCCTGGGTCCAACCCAGTGAGCTTAAGGCCCTATAGATACAATTATTTCCAAAAAAATGAGTTCGAAAGACAGTCAAAGAGATGTTGAATAATGAAATAATCAGGCCAAGTCAGTCCCTCTTCTCTTCCCCAACCTTGTTGGTAAAAAACAAGGATGGAACCTGGAGATTTTTTGTCGATTATCAAGGGTTTTATGATATCACTTTCAAAGACAAATATTAAATTCCCATTGTAGATGATTTTCTAGATGAGTTGCACGGGTCTGTAATTTTTTCCAAGGTTGATTTAAGAGCTGGATATCATCAAATTAGGATAAAGACTAAGGATGTGTATAAGACTGCATTTAGGACTCATTTGGGGCAATATGAGTTTTGCATTATCCCCTTTGGATTGACAAATGCCCTTGCCACATTTCAAGCATTGATGAACCAAGTGTTTCTGCCTTATATCAGGAGGTTTGTCTTGGTATTTCTTATGACATTCTCATTTACAGTCCTTCACTTGAAGATGATGTGCAACATCTACTAACTGTTTTTAAGACATTGAGGGAGAAATCTTTGTTTGAAAAAAGATCCAAATGCTTATTTGGTCAGTCAAGGATAGAGTACTTGGGTCATATCATCACCAAAGAAGGAGTAGCTACTGACCCAAGCAAGATTTAGGCGATGGTGGAGTGGCCTAGACCATGCTCAGTGAAGACTCTTAGAGGTTTTTTAGGTTTGACTGGTTATTATTGAAAATATGTGGCTCACTATGGTACTATCTGCAGACCTCTAACTGATCTACTTAAGAATGAGGCATTTCAGTGGAGTACAGAGTCAGAATCAACTTTTAATGCTCTTAAAACTGCGTGGTCATCTACCCTAGTGTTAGCCTTACCTGATTATACTCAGGAATTTATTGTTGAAACTAATGCAAGCTATGGGGGTATTGGTGTTGTTCTCCTGCAAAAAGGCAGACATATAGCTTACTTTAGTAAGGCTTTAGCACTTAAACATAGGGGTAAGTCTATCTATGAGAAGGAGTATATGGCCCTTTTGAATGCGGTGGATAAATGGAGACATTCCCTCTAATTCAAGCATTTTGTGGTTAGAACTGACATTATAGCTTGAAATATCTTTTGGAGGAAAGAGTCACTTAAGCCATCCAATAGAAGGGCCTAACAAAATTAATGGGGTTAGACTACGAAGTACAATATAAAAGTGGTGCTGAAAATAGGGTTGTTGATGCCCTTTTTAGGCAGAAGGAGGGTGTAGATGATATTAAGATGCAAGAGACTGGTCAGTTGATGACAATCAGCACCACAATTCCTATGTGGATACAAGAAGTGACCAATAGCTATGAGGGTGATAGTAAAGATTTAGAGTTTCTGGTTCAGACTACTGTAGGACAACAAGGTCCTAGTCTATGGCATTTTTCTTCGGGAATTTTAAAAAGAAAGGGAAAGGTATATGTGGGAGGCAGTGGGGACCTCAGGCTCCAACTGATTAGCAAATTTCATGATTCTCCTATCAGAGGCCACTCAAGTCAGTTGGGAACATTAAAAAGGCTGTCTCAGGTATTCTACTGGCCAAATATGAAACACATGGTGATACAATTTTTAGCTTCTTGTGATGTTTGTCATAGGAACAAAGATGAGAACACCCCCTACCCTGGGCTTTTACACCCTTTTCCAATCCCTAATCAAGCATGGAGTCATATTTGTATGGATTTCATAGAGGGGTTACCGAAGTCTAGAAACAATGAGGTCATATTGGTGGGGGTGGATAGGACGACCCAGTATGCTCATTTCATTGCACTTTCACATCCCTATACTGCAGTCACTATAGCTGATGTATTTTGGGAAAGGATACACTGTTTACATAGAGTTCCTGAGTCTATTATTACTGACAGAGACAAAAAAATTGAGCAACTTTTGGCAGGCCTTGCTCAAGGTGTTGGGTACACAATTGAACTATAGTACTGCTTATCACCCTCAAAGTGAAGGCCAAACAGAGCGAGTGAATAGATGTTTGGAAAATAACTTGAGCTTCCTGACTGCCAACAGACCTACTCAATGCAGTCACTGGTTGCATGCAGTTGAATGGTGGTACACCACAAATTTTCACACTAGTCTACAATGCACACCTTTTGAAGCTTTATATGGTTACTCTCCACCTCAAGTGTCGATTGGTCCTTTACTTGAAACTATGGTTCCGGCGGTTGATGATGCGGTAATGCAGCGACAACAATGGCTTCAACTATTGAAGGATAACCTCAGTAAAGCGCTGGAAAAAAAGAAGTTTTATGCCGACAAGAAGAGATAAGAAAGAGAATTTCAAGTGAACAACTTGATCTACCTCAAATTACAACCATATAGACAATATTATGTTTCTTTGAGGAAACATTTCAAACTGAGCTCCAAGTATTATGGACCCTATAGAGTGATTGCTAAGATTGGTAAAGTAGCTTACAAGTTGGAACGCCCCCCTGATTCTAAGATTCACTCGATGTTCCATGTATCACTTCTCAAGAAAAAAGTGGGTGAGAAAGTCGTAGTTCAAACTAATTTGCCTACTACGGGAGAAGATAGTAAATTTTAGGTGAAGCCAGTAGTAATTCTTCAGTGACAGCAAATTAAGAGAAATAATGTTGCAGTTGTGAAGGTAGTGATGCAATGGTCTAATCTTCCTCCGGAAGATGCAACATAGGAGGACTACCAATTCCTTAAGGAAACGTTTTCGGGGTTTGATTGTTGATCCTTAAGGTCACAGATGAATTCATGGGACCTGGAATGTTATGATTTGAGAAGTCCAATAAAACAAACGTAGTTGTAGAGAGTCGAAGTCGAGTAAAGTAAGGGAGGTTAATTTCATTTCTTTTAAATTGAGTGGCTGAGATTGAAATCAATTTAATGAATGGCAAGGGCGAGGATTCAACCATGACACCAGGGTAGTTAAAACAGTTATAACCACCCTGACATGGGAGAGTGGGGTTCTTACGTGAAAAGTGGTATTTTTCTCATCCTTTCTAAATTCTCGCTTGCCAGATTCTCTTCTCATCTCCTTCTGTTTCTTCTTCTTCCTCTAATTCTCTTCTCCTTGTTTTTCTATCAGGTTATTCGTACGTCAATGGAATACTGATTAGTTTATGTTCATGCTCTATTTTCTTATTAGGTTGTAATAACTTTCAATTCAATTTTAATTTAGTTCAATGAAATTCTAGAAAATTGTCCCAAAAAATTATATTGTGTTGATTATTTTATGTATTTGTGATTAAACAAGTCTTATCTTGACATAAGGACATGAAAATTTGTTCACCTTTTGGATAAACCAATAAGCCTAAGGAGAAACTTTCTCCTCTAGATGTTCCAAAACATAAGCGGTGGACGGTGTGAGAATTGCATTCGTAAGATTGTAGTTGATGAAAGTGCAGAAGATAAAATTGGTGATATGTCTATACACATGTACATGGGCTCTCTGATAACATATATGCCATAAAATTACTGGAGCTAGTGTTCACAAATGCATCACCAACCTCATCTCATGTACTTTCACTAGCTACAATCTTATTGATGTAATTATCACACCATGCACCACTTTATGTTTTGGAACATATCCAAAGGTGAATAAATATTCATATCCGTATTTCACTTCTCAAAAATATATCGATTGTATCATAAAGTATGTGAAATTTTAATTAGAAACAATATAACACATGGCTTGGTTATGATCAAGTGTGAGTTGATGATGCCAGAATAGGTTAGGTTGTCTTTGATAATATACCAAAGAGAGATGAATCAAGAAAGTTGTATTGGAAAGGATACATCTACTTTTTAAGGACATAGCTTGTGCACACGAACTAAAGAGGATCCAAGAGAGATTAGTGCCCCAGTTTCGCATTAAAACCTAGACACTACTAAAACGCTATCAAAAAACGACAGCCAAAGGTGACGGACTGCATCGCTTTTTCTGTCAAAATCGATGGAAAAGCGATGCAGTCACCTCCGTCGCTTTTTAGCATGACGCTTTTCAAAAGGTGATGGACTGCGTCACTTTTTGACTACTTTTTAGAATTTTTTTAACAAAAGCGACGGACTCCATCAATTTATTTTAATTTTAATTTTTTTTTATTTCTAAAAGGCGACGCAGTCCGTTGCTTTTCTGGAAATTTTAGTTTTGAAAATCCCTGAAGAGCGATGGACAAAACCACATTGTCTATCGCTTTTCTAGGATTTAAAAAAAAATAAAGCCCAGAAAAGCGACGAACAAAACCATGTTGTCCGTCGCTTTTCCTACAATATTTCTGTTACCCACTTGCAAATGCAATTCAATTCAATTCTATACTATTCAGCCCAATCAAACACACACAATTATAAACAATCTAAACAAAACATGAAACAACAAACTTAAAATAACATTCAAAAGTATCTAAATCACAAATTAAAGACTTATAAAGTCTTTCAAAATTCGTTTCAAAATTTCAAAAAGTTCATAAATGTCCAGAGATCTAAACTAGGGAATGGGTTATACATAATCATTCTCATTACTCTCGTCGTCGGTGTCATCGAGAGCCGAAGTAGTAGGTCGACGAGCGAGGTTCATCACTTGTTCTTTGATTTGTTAAACGATCTCACTCATGCTTTCTTGTTCAACTACTCTTCTCCGTTCTGACTCTGCCAGTGCCACCGTAAGTTTAGCTATTTGAGCCGACATAGCAGCAATCTTAACACCTTCAAGTGCCTCGGCTTGATGTGATGATCCAATTCTTTCTAAGCCTGACTAGAGTCGTCTTACATCGTTTCGAGAGCCTAGACCATAGACTCTACCCTCGTGTATCCCCTCTACCACTTTTTCTTTCCAAATCTAAGTGGAAAGTTCAGGTGTCAATTGGACCGAACTATATTGAATCTCAGCGACGTAGTGATGAAACTCATTCTGCATATTAAATATAAAAATTGACATCAATATATATACATATCATAAATATATTCACTATTAATATATATTATTTATATTAAATAATTTACAAAAGTTCGTTCGGCCCTTTCCTCCACCCACACATCCGAATCTAACTCATTTTCTTTCTTCCTGATATGAGTCTTCTTGAAAACCTCTGGTTCAATGGGAGTGCGTCCCAGTTATTTTTCCTATAAAGAAAAACTTAAATTTATAACGATATTTATGAATGAACTAATTATTTATTTAAAAGTTTGAATTAGAACTTACCATCTCTCGTGCAATTATTCCAACTGTCTTTGCACCTCCGGTGTGCAACGAGCCACCTTTAAGACTGCCTCTAGCCTTTTTGGCTTGTTCTTATATTGCCTTAAACATGTCTGTGTTCCAATACTGACCCAATTCATCAAAAACATGAGGCAACATCCAACCGGGACGTTCACCACTATCCCGATCTTTCTTTAGCCAGCTAGACAGTCTGGCAGATGCCTTCCTCTCAAATGTGGTCCCTATAACCAAATTGTACCTCGACTCCCAAGTACACATAGTCTGAAAAAAATTGAATAACGTTAATTAGATCGATAGTAAAAAAAAGTAAACTATTCTAAACTTAACTAAAAAATATATACCTTATAGTTATTAAGCATCGTCTAGCGTACATTGTTTGGAATGTCACTCCAAGAGTGATAAGCATGTGTGTAGAGTCTTCTAGCACAGTCTTTTAAAGCCCGGGCAGCATCCTTTGCAGGATGCCACCTGTAAAACACATAATAAATATGTTAGTTCATGAATGATATATTAAAGTATAAGAAATAAATAAAATAAACTAACAAATACATAACAAAACAAACTTATGATGATCCATCCGTCTCAATCGCGACTTTACCAAGTCTGTCCTTCTATCCAGGAGCTAGAGCATGCGTTGTATCATCTGGTGTAGCACTAGGTGTAGCTTTAGACGAAGGTGATACATCAAGATGCACAAAATGTGATGTTAATGGAGGCGTACCGGCCATAGCATCTGACTATTCGCTACTAGAATCTCCAATCCTCATGGCAGATAATTGAGGAGATGAACCTGTGGGAGATGGAGTACCCACCGATAAGGGTCGTGCTCGATGAATAGTCTGTAAAGG